CGATATCTATAACTATAATATATTATATATACATCATAAGTATATAATATAATATACTATATAACTATAATATACTTAATGATATATAAATAAATATTAATATATATCATATAATATATAATATTAATAATAATATAATATAAATAGATATAATATAGTATAATATACATATAATAATAATTATTTGTTAAATTATAAAGCATTATAAATATAATTATTTAAAAAATTAATATAAGTATATTAGTGCATGACTGATAAATCGTTGAACATCTCATTGGAGTAACGCAGCAGGCACTATGAAGCGATAGCTGCCGCCTGAGCGGAACACTAATTGTTGCGCCCGACGCCTTGTTATTATACGCATTGTGTTATACTACGAATCTCCTGCCGTCTGGGCGCACGCAAGATTTTGTCGAACGCCAGGTTGTGTTTGTGTCGAACGTTTTAATTACAATCGAATGCACCTGGCAGAAGTAGGAAGTATATCAAGAGTATATAAGCATGAAAGTAGACTTGCCATAGTCATGTGATGCCTAAAACTTAATGCCTAGTTGTTGGGCCTCGCCTCTCATAGTGTTGTTTTGAAGAATAGCTGGCCCTCGCTAGCCGCCTCGCGGCACCTGATGTCCTTCCCCTACAGCAACACTATGGAGCATAGTGCCCCAACAGCAAGAATTAATATATAAAATCATAACAATATAATATAATTAATATAATAAAATTATAAATCTATCTATAACTGCCAACTGGAATCGTAACCTGCCAGCATGAACGTAACCCTACACAACGTACGTAAACGTAACGTTAGCGTAAGTAACGTAAATATATAATATAATTATTTATTAATTTATTTATTATATTATATTATATTATAATCATTTTATCATATATTGCTTTATATCTATATTATATTTTTATATCATAATATTAATATTAATATAATAAATTTATTATATTAGTATTATATTAATATTATATTATATTATATTATATTATATTATATTACATTTTGAAGTTTAAGCATATTACAATATATTAGCAGGAGTCGAAAATATGCATAGCTATTTTCACTTTTCTGGTAGCGCAGATATGGCTATCATGGAAAAAGTGGAAACCCGTTCATTTCGACTCCTGTCTGCGTACACTGTGTAGTACGTAGTAGTATAGCACATTGCAGCTTCAGATCACCCGTACCCTCCTACTAGCGATGACGCCTCTACCTTCGTGTTCATGGCGTCCGTCGACGCAACGTCCAGTTCAGCTCGGTCCAGTCTGCGTGCACGCCGCAAGGCACCCAGTCGAGTAAAAAAAAAACCAAAGCGGGCCTTTTCTAAAACATTTAAAAAAAGCAAGTCGCTGGTCGCTCGTCCCCGCCGCAGGCCACACCGCACGAGCTAGCACTCGCATGGTATATATATTATGTTATATTACATTATATGTGAAAGGTTGTACGTAAGGGAAATTCAAGAGAAATGCCAAACGTGTCCTTCATATATACAGGTAGGTGTCCATTCTATAGAAGTGGTTTCACTGTATATCCTAATGCTATATGAATGAATTCCACTTCGTTATTCGCGTTCTCCATCGTTGACCCGTCCTCGTAAAATTCGCTGATGGAGATCGTTCTCGCCTCAGGTATTTCTACGTCACAATGCTACGCGAGCCGATGTTACGATTCATCAGCGAGTACCGACATGTCCAGCGCGGCGCTAACTGGCCACAGCAGCACATGTGCAATGGCCGCATGCCGACGGCGGAAGAGATACTGTCATGTCACGACACGGACGGGTGGGAGAACGTCACGCTCGACGCATTCCTTGCCTGCGAGTCGAACAACGCGTTCAACCGGCAGACGCGCATGCTCGCCGACCTGCCATTGAGCGGCTGCTACGAACGCGGCGCGATGACGGCGACCGAGCGCTATCGCGTGATGCTAGCGAGCGCCAAGCGCAACCTCGACAACCTGGCGTTCTTCGGACTCGCCGAGCAGCAGGAGCTGACGCAGTTCCTCTTCGAGCAGACGTTCAAGCTGCGTTTCACGGTCGCGTTCGCACAGACCAATGGATCGAGTTGGCGCATGGGCGTGACGCAGGCGCAGAGCGATCGGGTGCGCGCGGGAAACGCGCTTGACACCGAGCTGTATCGGCACGCTGAGAGCGTGTTCGCAGAGCGCGTCGCCGCCACGAAAGCGCGCTTCCCCGCCGCGTACGAACGCTTCATGAAGAAAGTCAACGCCTCAGATGCGAGTCGGAGAGGGAGCCGCGCGAAGGCAAGCTATACTGAGCCGCGCGAAGGCAAGCTATACTGAGGCGCGCGAAGGCAAGCTATACTGAGGCGCGCGAAGGCAAGCTATACTGAGGCGCGCGAAGGCAAGTATACTGAGGCGCGCGAAGGCAAGCTATACTGAGGCGCTCGAAGGCAAGTTATACTGAGGCGCGCTAAGGCAAGCTATACTGAGGC